ATGGGTTTCTTTAATTTTGTGGCTTTCATAAACATGCGCAAATGTATAAAGGAAATTTTCTTTAATTATGGAACACAAAATAATTTGTCAAAATTAATCTCATGATATCAGTAATTGAAACAAGCTGAATTCGACGAAATCTGTAGGCGTACGATGTGTGAAAACGCTTGTGTCGTCTGTAGGTCCTTTGCAGGTACGGAAGTCCAATTAGATTGCAGGAAACACAGGTTCGTTGATATCTGCTACTTGTTAATTCCCTATATGTAACTTACAATAATCATTGAGATCTCTGTTAAATGGGGTTATGTCGGCAAGATGTGGGGGACCGATACTCCCGGCTCTTGGCATAACGGTCACGAGAAGATCGATAAACAAGCAGGTAAAGAGGACACGGTACCCGCCCCGTCTACTTATTAACCAATGGATCGGGGCAGATGGTCATGGATGTTTGAAATTTTAAATGCTTAAACACTGCAATTTTTGAAAAGAATCGTCTGTTATCAGCATGGGAATATTACATTTGCGCCTGATATTCTTTATTAATTAAATCCAAAATTCTTTGACTCCCTCATATTACTATACTGAAAATCCACAATCAACAATTGTATATGTATATGTAATATTTGCCTGTTATAAGAAATGTCGTGTGTATGTACGGCGTATATGGTACGTATATTACACACGTACTATTATAATTTTTGATTTTTTGATTTTTTGATCATACGATTTCTTTATTCGATTAATTAATTAATTAATCAGCAGTGTTTATTATTATTATTTAAATGTGTTCGAGAAAGGCATATTTGCGATCATTCTATTAAGAATCATCATATATTGATCGGTCATAGCTGTATGATTGATTTACTTGTGTTTTTACTGTAGCAAGAATCACGTTACATACATAACAATACATGCGTATATCAAGTTAAATTTTGTTAATAAAAAATTAAAACAATAATAATTGTTATATAAAAACTTAATACATTTTTTTTCTTTTGATTTTGTAAATACGTTTTTCTTATATTTTTTATTTACAAAAATACAAAAAGTTCATTCAAAGAAAAATAAAGAGAAAATTAAGTCTTTAAATAATAGTGTTGTTAAAAATATATACGTATATACTAT